TTCAGCCCAAATCAGTTTTGGTATCAGGAAGTATTTTTAGCTAACACTGACACTAACATTTCTGGTCAACGTATATTTGAACGGTTGGTTCATAATGCGTTAAAATTAAACCTATGATTAGTCAAATGGAGTTGTGACTAAAGGAAACATTACAATGAAATATCAAGCAGAAATGGACAATTTAGAAGCAATGAAAAAATCAAACTTCGAGAATAGCTCACGAGAAAAGGACTTCAGCTGAACAAGTGCGGTGAGATCTCCGTTGAATACTTCGGGTGGTTGTATTTCAAGTCGTTCGTCATTCTTGGTTAAACCGCTACACCTGCAAGTTTCACTGTCACCACGGTTCCCACCATCATAACCACCGCCATTATTGTCAACATGTCCAGTTGCTGGTGGTATATCTATATACAAAAAACCAAAAGGGAAATGCCTTTTTGCGTGCATGAGGCGTAGAATATCCCTCAGTAGGTGCATTTCTGATTTATCTGGCGATAAAAATTACTGCCGGAGTAGCAATTCGGTCACATTTTGATAGCCGAGATACGAATTAGGTGGTTGGATATTTTAGGAGAGAGATGCAGGATTAAGGGTCTGAGCTTCACACGCCACTGCTGCCATCTGATAAAAAATATCGCAACGAGTGTGAGTCAGGGAGAGAGGAGTGGAAGGGGAGGAAGAGAGCTTACTTTTAGCATTCTCCAAAGCCATGTTCCGCTGACGATAAAGTGGTAAGAGGGACTGAGTAGAAATGAAAAAGTTGTGTGGAAGCGACTGGAGGTTGCCATCGTCGTGGAAGTAGATTGCCGTTACCTGTATGAGAAGCAAGACCATCAGCGAGGGCGAATTTGACAAAGACAATTATGATGACTAACTGGGCTAGCTTCACCCACCTGAACTTTATAAGAAGATCCGGGACGAAGAGAATTGATTGTAATTTCAGAATCTTTCTAAAAAAATTAAAGCACCTGCCTAAAAGCACCTTTAAATGTTATTGCCATTTATTCAGCCTTATTAGCAGTCTTTCCACTCATTTTCAAATTCTTGCTAGGGATGTTTCATGTGGCCTGTCATGGTAGTTATTTTGATATTTTACCGTTGAGGGTCAGGCTCAACCCATGATGCACAATGCCCTCTTTGAGAGGAGCTCATCTTCTCTATGCCCCGAGGATTACTTCCGAACCTAATTCGGTTTAACAAGAATTGGACTAAACTTCTACACTGTCCGAACTGACCCCAGAAATTTCCAACTCAAAAGGCTAGTCATGTCTCAAGTTTAAAAACAGGCAACGATTGGCAATTCTACAGTTTTGATTTAGTTTCTCAAGCAGAAACTATCGAATTCTTCTTATATTCCTTCAATCTGAACAAATTAACGTCTACAGGGGACCCAGCAAATTATCTCTATCTCCGCTTTTTTGTCTGGCAAGTGAATTTAATTGAAATGATCAGTTATAACCTTAAATATATGGGAACAAGAGCATGGGTGATTTATCAGGGTCAGGTGCTACTTACAGTTTGAACACTCTGCATGAAAGGAACGCCGGAATCTTCCAGAGGTTTGCTGCTAGTTGTGGTTGGGTAGCCGCTATCCAACGCCCATGAAACCTGCAGAAATATGCAACTGAGACTTTAAAATCATTTTCTGCTAAAAGCAACTGATAAGAGAATTTACGAGGAAATAAACACAAACCAAGGGGTGTCTGGAGTACAGAACGATGTGATCAAGTTATTCCGCCGTGATTAGAACAAGATTCTCTCAAAAAACTTGAGCTTCGCCCTTGGTTTGAATAAATTTTGTGTGAAGGAGACGAAGATGTGGGTCAAATAGACATCAAATCATCACCTTGACTGACCGCAAAAGGTTAAGAGCAAACACATACTACAAATACAGTGGACTCCTTCCTTTGGTAATGCTCAAGATTGGCATTCTATCCACTGAGTAATCCTATGCTTAAGGAATTTGGATGAATCTTCAGCCTATTAGTAAACGGCGGAAATGGAAAAAAGGTATTTTGGCGCTGGGTGGCCATCAACGAAGAAGTCTGTCAAACTGCGACGTAAATGTATTGCATCATTAACATGACTTGGTTGCTTAATAATGATAACTCTGACTCTTTTCAGATCGCGCCTCTTCAAACGTTGTCATCACTACTTACAGAGAGAACAAGACCCTCGATATCATAAATCATTATGTGGCCAAATCTTAGTCTGAACTACTAAAATATGACAGATGATATTTATGGGTTAACCTGCCCTCAACATAGCAGCTCAAAAGAAGTCAATGCACATTTTTTGTCAACTTTCAAAAAAAATTGAGATATAACCTACGATAAGCTTCTCAACCTATCACAGGTCGACTTAAATAGTTGCAAACAATTCACGACAGAGAATTAAACAGAGAAAAAATAATGATCAGCAGCCTTTGAAGAAATACGAGAGGCAACAGCTCATGTGCAGCCACAAGTTATTAAAGAATGCATCTTTTTCAAATATCTCGTTCTTCAATTCCATCATCCATTGTATGTAGAGGGATAGCCTCTTTGAAACAAACGAAATGGCACTATCCCTAACAAAGCTTTAATCTCCTCATTCAGCTAAATTAACACCCATTGTAAGTTAACTCCAAAAGTGGCAATTGTCTCGTAGTTCACTGATCACTCTCACTGCGCAGATGAAATTCTTTGAAGGAGAAGAGTATAAAAGACGTCTAAGGTACTAGTGAAACTCACAGAGTATTCAATCAGTGGGAGACCAGTGGCCTCAGGTGGAGCCCAGCTGAGCCGCACACTGACCTCGCCATTGGGATGAATACTCCACTTGGTGGCCGTGACGTTGCGTGGCGGCTGAGGTCTCAAAGCGTTGAGTGGGTAGGGTCGGGAGGCTGGTCCAAAGCCTCTGCTCCCCTGAGTGCTAACTGCCGCTAGGCGAAATTGGTATATATGGCCGGGATCGAAGGTGTCCACTGTTGTTGTTGTATTAACAGCCTGTTGAGGAGGTCAACAACATCACGATTCTTTCGTCATGGAGGATAATCCTGTATTTCAACTACTTGTCATCACAAAAGGAAGGCATCTACTCACGATGTAAAGCCGTACGCGAAACAAATGATAGTGTTTGTTTTACAGAATACAGTTTTTAGTTCATTCAAACAACTAAGTAGTGTAAATTGGTTGTTCCTTTCGTGTGGATCCTAACTGAAACAAGTCAGTGATTCTCCTGAAAATAGGGTCTCAGACTGATGGACCGAACAGTGATTTTAGGAGAGCACGCACCATGAGAACGGTCTGCCACTTGGAGGCCTTTTTCTCGCTAAAACTTTTGCAGACACAGAAGCGTGTCTGTAGGATAAAGACAAGGGGTCCGTGGTCGCGAATGAAGTCGGCGTAGGTGTCGATCCACGAGATCTGTATGGTACCGGGTTTCTCCTGGACCGGCTGGAGAGACAGTTGCGGAGGAAGTGGCGGCACGGTCTCCGGAAATATTGGCTGTGGAATTGATGAAAAAAATGCGTTTATGTTAGCTTATAAAAAAATCATGATAGATAAGAGTACGTAAGGTTAGACGGTCCCAATTAATCCTGATAGAGCGCAGAAATTCATCACTAAAACGATTTGAGTACCCTCAGTCGAAACAGTTCGGTATGCCGCTAATCCAACTCCATACCCATCTGCATAAGAGACAATTAAATGTGTAGCTGTTTTGTAAAGAATGGGTTAACTCAAACGTAAGGTGAGTGCTTTGCCTCAACGTAAATCTTTTTAGTTGTGACAATTTTAGCCGTGAGTTATGAAAAATCGACGTGAGTAAAATGAACCAAACGATTTCACTGCTGGTTAAACAAAAGTAGACGAAGTTTTACCATGTGCGATGAAACCTCATTCCATATTGAATGCACCAATCGAATTATGTGACAAGAGTGGCACAAGGAGACAGTTAATGCGATCATATTTAACTCCGACTTATAACCCGCTGCATATCCGCCAAAGCAAACGACACGTTCAGCAAAGCATACTCGAGACTGACACTCGGCTAAGACATCTGATGAGACGATGCTCGCAAAGTGAACTAGATATGCATCTGACCTCACGAAAAAATCCAAAGTTGAATCGGCCGTAACTTTTCAGCAGAAATTAGTGCAACAAATTTACTATTTTTTAAGGAATGTATATGGCATTGTTCAAATCAATTAAGATGCCACCTAGGGAAATCAATTGTAACACCCTTGCATTGAAATGGACACAAGCCAGAAACGTAACTCTCAGCCAGGTAATAAAGTGGAATACTGACATGAAAACATCCTTTATGATGAAAGTGGACACTATTCAACCAATTGCGATATTATGCAGAGAATCACCAGCAAATGTAAAGTTTCCCCATAGCACATGCCACGAGACTACGACTTATGCACCTCACTTGTGAAACATATTATTTGAGCTTTTTTAGCCAAATACATTGAATTCACTGGTATTCTTCGTGAGACCAACGAGTGAAAAATGGTCTCCAGCAGCCGGATCGCAGCTGCTGAACAAATTTTTATCAAATTTTTGCATGTGCTTCATGATTTTCGACGCTGAAAGTTTTGCCCAACTAATTATAGGGGTCTCAATAACGAGACCATAAATTTTCAATTCAAAGTGACATTAAATTGCTGGCCTTACAATTAGATACTGCTTAAGTGCCCAGAATGAAACAGATAAATTTCGTCAGTTCCCGAACCCTAGTAAACACAGATATGGGTCTAAATAAGAGGAAATAATTTGTTTACGAGGTTAAGAAAGTCATTACGATGTGGTGAGTTGCAGAGTTCATTTCGGGCCAGGCATACCTATCATCTTCCCTACACACAGGCGTTAATTTTCCAACGTCCGAAACTCTAAAAAGAAGTGCATTAGCTAAACTTTTTTTTGTTTATCATCATCGTTCCGAAAAAAAAGGCCGCTCTCATCTTAACCCCTTCTCTTCCTTCTTCCAACAGAGTAGCAACTCTT